CCTGTCAAATGTATTTCAATATCCAATACTTCTCAAGTACTTTAAGTGTTTGAGTAGAAACAACCTTGAGGCAGGCAAGGAACCTAGGGATGACGTGGAGACCCCTCTCCTCTGAGCACAGGGAAGAGTGCTGGTCACATGTTCCCACCACAAGGCCCCTGCTCACCCACCCGTCCCCCACCCGCTGAGTGAAGCTCTGGGCAATGAAGGATGGAAGCACTTTTATTACCACTTGGAATTGGTCATTTAGGGGATGTTTACAAAGGCTTAAAACAAACCATGGAGTCTGAAACAAAAGTTCTGACCCTAAAGAACGGGTATTTGATAGCCACATGAAGTAAAAGAACTGAAAACAAGTTTTACTCATTCCAACTGAAGGGCAGCACTTGCCCCTAAATGAATTAAGAAATTCTCCTAAGAGCACAGATGAACCGTTTCTTACAAGTGACGTGGAAGCCAGGTTCATGTCTATTCTGAGCAGTGTCAAGAAAAGGAAATTTCAGAACATGGCTTTCAAAGTATAAGATTACATGCTCTCCCTAGAGGAAAAATCCGGTGTGGATCAGTGGCTAAAGCGTCAGCCCACGCACTGAAAGGTGGTAGGTTCGATGTCCAGCCCTGGTCAGGGCGTGTGTGGGAAGCAGCCAATTGATGTGTCTCTCACATTGATGTTTCTCTCTCTCCCTCCCTCCCTACTTCCCTCCACTTTCTCTGAAAAGCAATGGAAAAAATATCCTCAGGTGAGGATAAAAAAAAACCACGATGGATTTAGGAAGAGGCAGGCAATGGGTACTGTGATTAAATAGAAGAGGCCAGAAGGGTTTAATATTGGAAATTACTTGAAAAATATATAATATAACCAAATAATCAAATTTGGCCAAGTAATCAGGTAATTATTTAGCCAAATAATCAAATTGGCTGAATCAGATTTCCTTCAACATCAGAATTTCTATGGGGAGACATGGGATAGGTCTGGCAACATTTAAATGAGATCACCAACAAGGAGGCGCTTGTTCCCCAGTTGTTCCTCGTTGTGAAAGCTCCCTGGCAGCTCTCCTAGAAGCCGTTTGGCGGCATTTGGACTCGAGGCAGTGCTGTGCTCTGGGCAGGACCGGGCAGGCCAGGTCTGTGAAGGACGCTGCCAGCTGCTTCGGCTTTGCCAACACCCAGTGTGCATGAGCTGGAGCAAGTCCTCGCCGGGGTAGGCAGAGGCCTGAGAAGCTGTGGCCCTGGGAGCCTGCTATCCACAGGGAGTGGCCTGAACTGAAGGTGCACATTGAATTTGGCTCTGAGGAGTCTGATCTGCTGAGAAATCGTGATACCCACATAAAGCCTTTTATAGCGGCGACACAACCCCTCCTCCGGCCCACAGGCTCCCCAGCTCCCAGCCAGTGGCACAAAGCAGCTCTCACAATTCCTTCTTTGTTGTGGCCCAGGGGTGAGTTTGAAATGAGGCAACAACTGCGCCCACCTCTTTCATGCTTTTGTTAAGATCTTTCTTTATTCATTAAATTAATTGTGAAGAGTTTTAGAACATGCACAAATCTACTAAACATTAAGCACCTTTTTTTTAAAGTTCTTTATTTTTTTTTATATATATATTTTATTGATTTTTTTACAGAGAAGAAGGGAGAGGGATAGAAACATCTATCAGCTGCCTCTTGCACGCCCCCTACTGGGGAATGTGCCTGCAACCAAGGTACATGACCTTGACCGGAATCGAACCTGGGACCCTTGAGTCCTCAGGCCGATGCTCTATCTGCTGAGCCAAACCAGTTACGGCCAAAGTTCTTTATTGTAAGTATCATGCTTTTCTGACTCATGGGAAACCGCTACAGAATGGCTCTCCCGGGAGTGATGTATGTGGCTCCACTGGGACGGGGCTCAAAGAGGCGGCGGTATTACGTGTCTTCCTATCCTGCGACACGTCTGTCTTGCTGATTATCAACACTGCTTATGTAAACAAAACAGGGAGGAGTAGGAGTCATAACATTAAGAACTGAAATGTGTCATGGCATTAAGTTAAAACAAGTCCCTCAAAACTTTTATTTGCTTAGAAAACCAAGGCAGCCCTGTGGCCTTCATCCCCTTCCTCACCCCCACCTCCTTAGGTGAGACTCCTGCTGTGATCCTTCTTTCTCTTGTACTTGGAGACAAGTGCTTCTGCTTGCCACCTAGGGAGGCCCACCTGGCTGCCACTCCCAAAAGCAGGGGGCAGGATGCTAGATCTGGGGCAGGGCTGCAGGGATTCTGGTGGTCAGCCTCAGAAGGGATGGCGCATACACGATGGCTTTTGCCTCAGGATCTTTATGATCAGGTTCAGAAAACGTGGGGAGTTATCTGACCACCGGTCACACTGTTTATTTCATTTTCCAAGATGTTTTTATGTTTTCTCGCAAACATCACGACCCTGAGGCCAGCAGTATAGAAATCACGGTCCTCTTTTTAACAGATGGGAAACGAGCTCACAACCGTTAATGGTCGCATTCAGAGCTGGAACCCAGGCCATGATTCCACAGCATTCCTTATCTGCTTCACTAGAGTCAAGCCAGGAGCTTATTAACATTGTGATCACAGGTGTCAATATATATTAATCCAGCAGAGATGAAATCTGACCTCCTAGAATGGAAGGCCTGTTTTGCAAAAAATTTGTTTCATTTTTAAAAAAAATGGCCGAGACCGGTTTGGCTCAGTGGATAGAGCGTCGGCCTGCGGACTGAGGGGTCCCGGGTTCGATTCCGATCAAGGGCATGTGCCTGGGTTGCGGGCACATCCCCAGTGGGGGATGTGCAGGAGGCAGCTGATCGATGGTTCTCTCTCACCGATGTTTCTGACTCTCTATCTCTCTCCCTTCCTCTCTGTAAGAAATCAATAAAAAATATTTTTAAAAAAATGTATTTTTATTGAGTTCAGAGAGGAAAGGAGAGAAACATCAATGATGTGAGAGAATTATTGATTGGCTGCCTCTTGCACGCCCCACACTGGAGCCTGCAACCCAGGCATGTGCCCTGACTGATTGAACTGTGACCTCCAGGTTCATAGGTCGAGGCTCAACCACTGAGCCATTCTGGCCGGGCTCAAGTTTCATTTTTTTTTTTTTTCTAAATATATTTTATTGATTTTTTACAGAGAGGAAGGGAGAGAGATAGAGAGTTAGAAACATCGATGAGAGAGAAACATCGATCAGCTGCCTCCTGCACATCTCCCACTGGGGATGTGCCCGCAACCCAGGTACATGCCCTTGACCGGAATCGAACCTGGGACCTTTCAGTCCGCAGGCCGATGCTCTATCCACCGAGCCAAACCGGTTTCGGCTCAAGTTTCATTTTTAATGGTCACTGAACTCTGGGAAAAGTTTTAGTACTAGTTGCTCAGTTTCTAATTCTGAACATAATTCTATCCATGTTTATTGCCTTCCTTTTGAATTTTTACTGAGCTTTAGGCATATTAATTTCTAAGGAACTTGCATCAAAAATAGTATGACTAAAGCCCTGGCCGGTGTGGCTCATTGGTTGGGCATCGCCCCGTGCACTGAAAGGTTGCCTGTTCCATTCCCAGTGAGGACACAAGCCCAGGTTGCAGGTTTGATCCTGGGATTGGGGGTGTGCAAGAGGCAGCTGATCAATGTTATGCTCTCACATCAATGTTTCTCCCTTCCTCTTCTAAAATTCAATGAACTATTCTTTAAAAAATGTGTATGAATAAAGTCCCTGCCCTGCTTTCTGAGAGTCCCAGTTGTTTTCTAATGAGAGCTGACAGTCTCCATACTTTCTATTCCTTCCTTCCTTTTCTCTCTCCTTTTATTTCCTCTCATTCCTTCTATTGATTCATCAAACATATTATCAAACATCTATGTCTCAGCCAGTAATCAAAAGTATAAATTTAAGAAAAAAAGTTTAATGTAGAACTGAAAAAGGCAGTTGTGAGAATAAGAGAGAAGAAGCAGGTTCAGCCAAGTGTGGGTCCATGAGGCCTTTTAAAGGCAGTGTTATGCCCAGATTTCAAGATTCCCAAGAAACCACACCAGGGAGCCAGCCATGTCCGATGCAAAAGCATAAGAGTCTGTATTCGAGCTAGCTCGGCTCCCCCACCTCGCCGACACAGCAGCAGGAAGCAGAGAGAGAGAACTCTGTGTGGAGAGGGGTTTTATAGGGGGTTGGAGTAAGGGGAGGAGAAAGGGCTGTGGGCCTTGCCGATTGGCCAGGCACAAGTCGGTGTCTTGTTCCTGGGTGTGGCTAGCAGAGGCTTAGACTTCCGGGAAGAAGCTCCTTGCCAAGCACATGGCCAAGGTAAGATGGAGGGCGTAGCACTTACCCTGGGGCAAGATGGAGGGCCTACCCCTCGCCCTTTCAGGCAGTAGGGTGGTATCACATGAATGACCATTAAAAATGAGTTGGCTTATGTAAGTAATATTCGCCAGACTTATACTCAATAAATGGGAAATGAGATCAGAAGTTTTTAATATTGCCCGAAAATTAATAGTGGTACAAAAGAATACAATTTATTCTATTCAGGGGTTTAATAAAAGGATTTCACAAAGTGGGCAGGAAATGCTAAAATAAAGTGATACTTTGATAAATTAGCTTCACCAGCAAACTGCTTTTCAACAGTTTTTCTACCTCTTCTTTCACACCCTTAGCAACATTAGCACTCGATGATGGCCTCTTTATGCTTTAAATTGTGCTAATCATCCATTTAGCAGCAACAAGAGCAAAAACACCCACAAAAATATTCACATCACAATTTCTTGGGATTTTAACAAAGGGAGATTTAGCAGTAAACGGAGAGATGCCTTTTGTCATGATGATGTACCCATATGAAAGGTCTGTTTAACAAGCAAGACATTTTCTCTGTGATCAACTTGGGAGATGTCTGAGAACCAAGGTTTGACTGTATTTTACTCTGTAGACTCACATATGACCCCTGAACTGGGACAAGCTATTTTTCAAGAGCGACAGGGTCATTTTCGGCACAAGTTCATAAAAAAGATCGCAATCATGTCATATGTGAAAAGTCAGAGAATTTTATTGACTTTTATATGTTCTTGGAGAAAATCATTCACATGTAAAAGTTTGAAATTTGATATGAGATTTAGTCACACTTTATTTTACACATAAATTACTTAATTTGGGGATCAGACAATTTCTCATTTCAAGAGGACTTTTACATGATTACATTCACAAAACTGGCACACTATATTAAAAAACGAAATCAAACAGAGCTAGACAAGTATGCAGCTTTATGCCAATTGAAATCTCAGCACACACCACTCCTCATGCATGATTGTGGAAGTATCTGCTGTGACCTTACTAGAATATGAATGGACAATATCTGAGGTCATGAATGATTGTTTATAAAATAAAACCTTTCTCAAGTGCTTCTCATTTTGTTATAGAAAAATATTACAAATAAAAATTAGTACTATTCAAGGTGTCCATTTCAAAATCACATGATATACAGGTTCAAGCCATTTCCCCTCTCATATAGAGACATCACCTCACGCTGCGAAAGGACGGAATCAGCCTCAATGTACCCTGGCAGCGTGACCAGCTTAGTAATGACATTCACTATGCCGACTGATTGAAAATGGGAGTGAATGAAAACAGTCAGATTGGGTTTACTCATAATTTGTTCTTAGTCTGAGACTCAAAAAAACTGCCAGAGAAACATGACAAAATTTGTATTTCTTCCTGATACAAGAAATTTGTCTAAAAATCTGTAACTATAAGACAGATTTGCTTTTTAAAAGAAATGATTAATATTTTTTTCATGGTTAGATTCTTATTTAGAGAGGATTCAAATTTTTAATTTGGGCCCTCTTTTCCTGGAGGGTGGGAAGGATGGTTCAGTATTACCAGGTTTATTCAACAAACACAGGGGTGTTTCAAAGAGGACTACAGAGCACTGTTACAATCAAACTGTAAGTTTCCTTTTCTTAGACTTAGGTAATTTTTAAAGAAAAGGGATCTCTCATAAGCTATATACAGCAGTTTACACTTCAGTGTTTTTCACTTGATATACAGTTAAAATTAATTTATGACAAATACTTGTCACATGAATTTATGTAGGCACATCTAAACTCTGCAGCTCTACTGGAGGGGAGAGGTCTTCTGTGGGATCATGATTCTGGATTCCATTTCCTGAATAAGTGGAACTGAACACAGGGTCAAGGTTACTGTGCTTGTTCTTTTCTGAACAGATAATGGTAAATATACATCAACAAACAGGTTTCTGAGAATGTTCAGGGTTGTGCTGCTTGAAATCACAGAATAAAATATTGGAAAATACAAGATAATGACAGATCAGCTAGCATCCTATAAAATGTTATTAAAATTATAACAGATTCTGTCTAGAGATGTGTGTAACTTGTAGGAAATTAGGAAAATAGTGTTTTCTCAAAAGGTTCTTTGAACTAAAATAAATTTATATAAAAGCAAATAATGTTGCACCTAACTGTATTCCTACACTGTACTTATAAAACTCACTGCAGAGTAGAACACACCTCTGAAAATTGATGGAAGTGTAAGAATAAGCAGCAAAAGACACAATTATATGTCTTATTTTCTAGAACAAATTACTCCTTGATTTTTTTGGCAGTACATGGGCATAAATGTACTTACATGCAACATGGCTGGTACTTATTACCTATATTGGTAGGCCAGGTTGTATTTAGCCCTATTTTTCTTATAAAGATCAAGCAGCCATGCTTTCATAGTACAGATGTATGTGGTTATACATGCATCACAGGTATACATGTATATACAAACACATACACGAAAGTCTAAATATCAAGTTAAATTTCAAAATTACTTTTTAATTGCTGTATTAAAATTTAATGATTTTGTGAATGCACAATTTTGTTGAGAAAGGAAAAGCTTAGGAAATTTTTAAAATAAATTTTCAGAGAATATAGAAATGTGCAAAAAAAAACTAATGATGTAAAATTTACAACATACAAGGGTCTGAAAACTGTACCAGACAACTACATACGTTAAAGAATGAATATTCTTCTTTATTGAAAAAAAGTGATGTAACTATTAAAGAAAAATTTGACTCCCTTGCCACCCCAACCTTATAATTCACCATCTAGAACAATATACTATTTTAAAAAGGTACATATTGCCCTAACCGGTTTGGCTCAGTGGATAGAGCATCGGCCTGCGGACTCAAGGGTCCCGGGTTCAATTCCGGTCAAGGGCATGTACCTTGGTTGCGGGCACATCCCCAGTGGGGAGTGTGCAGGAGGCAGCTGATCGATGTTTCTCTCATCGATGTTTCTAACTCTCTATCCCTCTCCCTTCCTCTCTGTAAAAAATCAATAAAATATATCTTAAAAAAAAAAAAGAAAAAGAAAAAAGTACATATTAGCTTCGAGGTGAATGATAATAAAACAATAATGTGAGAAGAATAAAATAGTACCTGTATAATACACCAATTCTTCCCAGCCATGTTTATGCCATGCTGCGTTCCGTATATCTTCCCTTGTCTGAAGGTCCTTGTAAGCTGAAATAACCACACAGAAAAAAAACAAGATGTAAACCAAACAGAATGCCCTACATTCCACTCGTACACCACTAAGTATTGACCCAGCTGCTCATCCAGTTTTCACGGAGACTACTTTGGGAATTTAGTACCAACTTTGGGCAAAGTGAGGGTGAGTTTCAAAGACAGGTAATTGAGAATTCATCTCTGCATATCTCAATACTCTTCTGTATAAACTAGGAAGCGGGGAGTGAACACTTGCGACACAGACTGGGGACGAAGGAGGAGGGAGAAGGGCACTGCCTAAGAAGACACAGGAGTAGAGTCTGGCCTCTCTTGGACACTGAAATCACGTTGTTCCTGGCCTCTGTCTGCGTGAGGCGGATCCTGGTGGAACTCTCACCCTGCTGTTGCTCCCTGAAGCCTCGCATCCTCTCCATGGGACAGAGTTAAAGGCACTGTCCTGTGTCCGCCACAGCCTGTCGGAGCTTTGCCCCTCACACTCTAGTGCCTGCCTGTGTCTATCTCCTGACTCCTTCACCTGGGCGTCCCCATTCAGACATGCTGTGGGCATGGAAGTGAACGGAGTGTGCACATGGTGTGACCTCCGGTTGGGAGTCAAAGCACATGGTGACCCTGACCTATCAAGTACATCCCTGTGCGGCTCATGTATGGAGTATGTCTAGGAGGATGTGCAGGAGCCACTCCCGGAGGCCTCTCCAAGCTCAGAGGACGAGAGTGAAGAGGCCTGACTTTTCAGTTTATATCCTCTGGACAGACCATACACTATTTAAAACATAAAAACGACTCCACCCCTACCTCAAATCAATGAAGGTTAGATTTATATAATCTTAAAAGGCAGGAACACAACACATTTCTTAAAGTTCTGTCTCCAAACCTACTACATTTGAAAACGCTTACACTTATGAGGTCAAATCTCAGCTAGCGAAAAACCCAGGACACTGCTGTCCCCGAGGTTCCGTGGAGATGCGGGTTATTTGTGGCATCTGTCATTGGGTGCAAGGTTTTCAGTCTCCTAAATGCCCGGGAAGCCCCACGTGTGCAGCTGAGATGAGCACCTGGTTGAAGCAGTGATTGGTGGGGGGTCTCCTCTCCAGACCCTGGTTTGCAGGTTGCTCCAGGAACACAATGTAAAAACTACTTTTCTACCTCAGCTTAACCATCAGTCTTAGGCCCTTGGTACATACTCTACCATTCAGCCAGTCTGCTCTTTGTAGTTTCCTGAGCCCTTTTTCTAACTTCTCATGTCTCCATCACTGTTCTAGTCTTTCCTTCCCACGGTTACCTGCCAATCCCATCTAGATCCTAAGTTTAGCTACTATTCCACCTTTTATTAATTTTCGCCCTGTGTTATCACACGCTGCCTCGGGGCATGTCATTCACCTTTGTAGGTCACCGTACCTCTGTAACCCAGACAAGCCAACACAGCAGGCAGGGTGTGGCACCTGGTGGGACCAAACAGGTCAAACTCACCCTTAGTTCATTGATATGGTCTGGAAATAAGTTAGGCTTTTCATTTCTTTAAACTTTAATAACCATTTACAAATGTGCCCAGAATGTTCCTGTTCCAGCAGGGAGATAGACACAGATAGCCACAGCTGTGACTACTGGGGCTCAGGAGAGTGACATGCACTTCGGGGGGAGGGGGAACACTGAGTCAGGCCTGAAAGATACCGAAGAAGGAAAAGGCCAGATGAGAACAAGACCCCGACAGGCAGTGAGTTCACGTGCAGGGAGCTGTCTCTGAGGCAGCAATGGAGAGGGTGCAGGGTCCAGAAAGGATGGTAGGGACCATGCCGTGAAGCACTCAGTAGCTTTACCATCTTGCTTCTGCCATGGTTGCTGACTTCACCTCTCTGATTCCTTTCACCATTATTCCCTCCTGGATGATCAGTTTACCAGAAGTCTATGGACACTTTTGCTGTTGACCTCTCATTCCAGACAGCCCAGAACTTAGCTTCCATTGTGACATTTGCATTTGCTACAGTTTCAGATGACTGAGTTGAGATACCCTTTACTGCCTAGTACATTTTATTTAGTAATAAACTGTGAAGTCCCAGTAACACAAAAATGAAGGAATAAAACAATAAATACCCCAAAGATGATGCACCATGTATAACTGCCCAATCTGAGAGAAGAATCCTCCAACAGCTTCATCACCATCCTGTCTGAAGCGAATTGCACGAGCCCTGCAAGGAAAAAAAAACAAGGTTCAGACATTGAATTAGGATGGTCACAACAATCAGTAAATTTCCTCCATACTCGGAACAAGTTTTTCAGAATAAGACTAATTTTTTTTAAATTATCAGATGCAATCGAAAGTTATTTTAATATATGTAACATGTAAACGTACCTTTCTATAGCTATACTAGCCATTTTTATGGGTAAACATTAATGACTATTAAAATAAAAACATGAGGATATGTGGTTGCACTGCTGATTCTTTTTTTTTTTTTAAATATATTTTATTGAGTTTTTACAGAGAGGAAGGGAGAGGGATAGAGAGCCAGAAACATCAATGAGAGAGAAACATCGATCAGCTGCCTCCTGCACACCCCCTACTGGGGATGTGCCTGCAACCAAGGTACATGCCCTTGACCGGAATCGAACCTGGGACCCTTCAGTCCACAGGCCAACGCTCTATCCACTGCGCCAAACCGATTAGGGCATGCTGATTCTTCACATAAAGTCAAGAAAGGTGGCAGAGGATAGGACCAGTGAACTGAATACATTGTTTGCGGGTAGTTTTTATCGCGCGCTAACAGGTGGCGCGTGGTGCGTGCCATTTTTGCTAATTTTTTGCGCAAATGGCAACGTTCAGTAAAATTACGATAACTTTAGTTTACGTATTTATACGTTACCCGAATTCTACCGCTAGTCTATAAAAAACGTATTAATACGTGTCCCGTGCTCTACTTACTACCAGTCAACGTAAAACGTATAAATACGTTTCCCGCATACAATGTGTATGAATGGCTTCTTGCAAAACTCGCTGAAAGTGAGGGAAACCTGGGTATGAAGACACCCGAGATGCCACAGGGAGAACGGGTTGAGAGATGAAGGAAGCACACCTTCACAGCAGTGGGAGACAGTGACTCGCAGAATCACAGGAGCTCTCTGAACTATAAAGGCGATTTGCCACCTCTCGGGAAGCACACAGGACCATGAGGGTGGGACTTCTTGGCCACACAGCATCAGGATCAAAACTGAAGCTTCTGCTGGGTATTTCTTCTTACCAGAGCAAACCATTAGGAAAATGAGTATCAAATGGCATTCACTGTGTATTGTGTGGAGGAAAGTATGGACATACGTTGTCTCTATTTGTTTAACATGAAATTGTGATTAAATTGGTTGACAATTGGCATCTGTCTTTAACTTTCCTTAAGACTTCCTATTGCAAAAGGTATCAGCTCTTCAAACACCTTCTTTCATATCTGCTCCAGGTACTTTATTTTTATATTTAGTGATGCATTTGAAATCCTAAAAATATTTTGAAATGTACATATTTTCCAAAAGCAGTTTTCTAGAATCAAAGCTGAAAAAATTTATATCAACACTACCTAGGCTTTCCATCGTGGTCCCAGAGTTGGCAGGACTTGGGAAGATGGGTTTATTCTAATTCACTGTGAAGAGCTGGAGGCATATGAGCAAGCATACCAATCTACTAATATGTACAGTGAGACATAACCCTCTAGGGATGATTTTCAGTTGAACTGATTAGTGAATTCCCTTCCTGGAGGCAAACTTCATAGCAACTGAATTAGAACATCACCAAAGGGTCAGGGGGTAGGGGTTAGAGCAAGGGCAACCTGTGGTGGGAGGGAGGAAGCCAGGCTCCTTAAGATCACTTTGCAATCCTCCGCTCTCATCCACGTGCCCCATGCTTTCAGGTTCTTTTCTGGTGAAGGAGGGATCTCTTGTTATTGCCCCCATGGGTTACCCCCAAATGATATTAAATTCTTTAACTTTTGCATTTAGAATTAATTGATCAATGTCTTCACAAAAATTACAAATCTGATTGGTAAATTATAGAGATTAAGCAAATCACATTAACGTGCATTCTAACTCAGAAGGAAAAAATACTCCTTCATTGCCAGTGATAAATATTCAGGATTATTCATTTCATTCTGAATTTTCCCAGCTCAGTACAGTGGGCAAAGAAGACATACTTGCCTTAGCCTGGTCATAATCAGAAGCATGTAGTGAAGAGGAGATCACCATCTTAAAATAGTTACCTATGTGCCAAAATATAAATTGAACGCTGAGCTGGTTTTATAAGTAGTTTTCAAAATAACTGAAGAATAATCTCAGTTCTTCCTCATGGATTCCATGGTGGGCAAGTTTTAATTAGTAACAGACAAAAAAACAACAACAAAAAAAACCACCAACAACCCCAGAACAATCCGACTCTATGGACAACTAAATTATAACATATACAAGCTCCTCTCCCCACTCAAAAAAACCCTTAATAAAACGGTGCCTGTAATAGTATATGAGGGAAAGTGAGTTTGCCACCCCAAATTTTTTTTTTAAGTGTTTGATTCCACAAATTTCAGAGAATAAACAGATAATCCCATCATCCTAATATTCTCTGAGTGAAGAAAATCAGATTTTAATATATGATGACCTAAAATCCTAGTGCCAGGACTGAAGGCAATAGGAGGAACAGTCATCAAGATTTTTGAGACATTACTTTAAATTGGTTATTTTTAGGAAATGAAAGACTTCCCCTAACTGCCTAAGAGAATTTAGATAGAGGACATGCTACAGGAAGGGAGCTATTGGCAAAGATAACTACAGTGTAAGACGGACCAGGTGCCATAGACGGGAAGCAAGGCCTGTTTGGTCAAAGTCCTCTCTGTGTCTCACTATTAAAGATGGCCCAGCAAACACTTTTTTTTTTTTAGCAAATGTTTGCTTTTTCATCTCCATGTGAATTGCCTTGCTGCCTTTGAAGTCCCAAACCACAACTCTCCCTTCTCTTTGGCTTAAGATGGCATAGAAGCCTTAACTGCCAGGTACATCCTAGGGTCTCATATTCTTATGGAACATACATAATAAATTTGGTCATTTTCTCCTATCAATTTGTCCTATGTTAATTTGATTATTAGTCCAGCCAGGATTTAAAAGGGTGGGAGGAAAATGTTTTTTTCCTCCCGCATATGTACAATCAAATATATATTTCTTAGTTTTCAAAATAAAGGAATTTCTAACTTTGCATTCTTTAACCTTTGATGACCTAAAAAGAAAAGACTCATTAGAAATAAAGATCATAGAACCATTTTTTGGAGCTAGAACAGTTCTTAAAAATTATCTAGTCCAATGCAAGAAATTTTGTAATAGAAGAACATATATGTTGAAAATAAATAAAAGTCACAGGTTCTCCTTTAAGGATAAAGATGAACCAAGGGTCAATAGCTGACCAATGGCTAATAATCTACTCTTGCATACCTCTTAATTATTGAGGCTTTATATTATTATACTAGAGGCCCAGTGCACGAATTCATGCACTGGTGGGGTCCCTCGGCCTGGCCTGCAACCTCTTGCAATCCAGGACCCCTCGGGGGATGTCCGACTGCCGGTTTAGGCCCGATCCCATGGCGATTGGGCCTAAACCGGCAGTCAGACATCCCTCTTGCAATCTGGGATGCTGCATGCACCAGTGACGATACTTTTCATACAGGTGAAAGGCATCTTGCTGCTGTATGGGCAGCTACATTTTTTT